GAACCCCCTTTAAAAAATGCATATTGCCATTTCAAATAGAATCCAGTCAATACATCAGCTTAGAGCTTTTCCTCATATAAATACATGCTGAGCAGAACGTGAATCCCAGTGCCCACCTCTGGTGTGAAATGTTCCCTGGTATGACAGCTCGCCTCTACCCCTACACAAAGGGACTCTATAACTATATTAAGAGTCAGCAATGGGGCTGAGTGGCAGCTCTGTGTTGGTTGCTTTTACCTGCTTTGCCAGAAGCCATGGCTTCAGTCCCTAGCGTGTTTGAGTGGAGGGGAGATCGACTTTGCAAATGTGGCAGGATTTTTGTTTTGTTTTTGTATCACTTGGAAAACGAGAATAGTGCCCAACTGGAAGGCTTGCTCAGGCACAAACTGCAGAACGATACGGAGGAAACACCTGGCACAGGAAATGCCCACTGCAAGCCCTCAGTTCCCATGGTCTGAACTGCAGCAGCCAGCACAGGTTTACAGAAGCTACTGGCTAAAGCCTTGTACCTCTTTCTTCACGGTGGGGCGTGAAGGACCCATGCTGGAACGGGCTCAATTCTTCACGTGTGTAAAACACAACACACACACACACACACACACACACACACACACACACACACACAAATCACTGAAAATCCCAGGTTTGAAACTTGCAAAATATTGGAATGCAACCATTCACATGTGTTAGCGATAGTAAAATACACTTCTGAAATTATATACTGAAGCTCACTAACCGTCACAAAATGAATTTTATTTTGATTAGTTCCCGTGACTCTAAAAATGTGGGGATTAAAGGCAAATTTCGTGGGATTAGGGATCAAGACTTTGGAAGAAAAGACAAGCGGCAAACACACATCTGAAAAGCCTCTTTAGGCAGGTCAAGGTTAGGACTGAAATAAAAAAAAACAAAATTTTTTGGACAATCTCTTATTAAAGTTTACAGAATTATAAACATTTACAACATTATATTTAGAAACCAATGTCATTTGGAGTGTACAAAGCAAGTTCAGGCTGTGGGAAATTTTTCATAGCTGAACAATACCATTGCGTCTGAACATCCTAACTGTATATTTAGGGTTTCTTGAAAGTATTTAGGTGTACCATTGTAAGAAATGAAACTTTTGCAATCAGCTATACACTTCTAATTGTGTGATATTCACGGTATCTTTAAATTACCTTCAGATAAAACCAATGTGATAGATTGATTTTAAAAAGATTCCAGATTTTATTTTTTTAAGATTGAAAAAACACGAAAGACAAAATTTCTTCGGGTCAAAACACTTTCGAGAAATGGAATAAGTTGGTGAGATATTAAAAACTGGTTGAAACTGAACCAGTGGTGTAGGGGGAAGAAGTCCCTCAATACATTTTAAACAAAATCTCATACAGCCCCTCAACTGTTCAAGTGGCAGACAAAATAAATTACCATAAATTATAGCCAAGACAACTTAAAAACAAAACAGCTTGACGCTAAGGATTTCCTTAGCGCTTCCAGGAAGTGTGTAACACTGCTTCTGGCCCGCAGGTTGGGTCGGCCACCGTCAAATGTCAGGATAGTTGCAGTAGTAGACCGCTGAGCTAGCATCGGACACCACGGAGGAAATGGCTCCGTGGCTGTCTGAGAGGTTCACACCGCAGTCATGTCCCTGGTAGGAAAGACCCATCTCGGGCTTATACACAAAGTGTAGATACTGTTCGAATTCCGTGCGGTCCACCTCCCCTAGGAGCTCGGTGGGCTGGTTGGGGTCCGTGCCCTCCCGGCAGGGCAGAGCCTCGGGAGGGGGCGAAGGCTGCCCCGGACCATGCGCCGGGTGCTGCTGCTGCTGCTGCGGAGGTGGCTGCGGAGGTGCCTGCGGTTGCAGCGGCTGCTGGGGCTGCGGGTGGAAACCGCGCCCGGCGCTTGCGGCGGGGGAGCCCATGGCGCCGTAGTACAGGTGCAGGGCGCTGGGGGGCGCCAGGATCCCCGGCATCGCAGGACCCGAGGGGTCTGGTCCCATTCGCATTGGGCCCGCGGGAGGCTCGGCGGGCACCGTGTAGTCCGAGACCTGTGCGTAAGTGTAGGCGCTGGCCCCTGGGCACTCCCCCGGCAGCGGTGCAGCGAAGAAGGCCGGGTCCTGCTCCACGCCATCCAGCGGTGATGTGTCCGGAGTCGGAAGAGGGTAGCCGTCGAGCGCGGGGGTGCCCAGGCCCTGGCAGTCGCGGTAGTGGGCGCCCATATGCGGGGGCAGCAGCGGCGGGCCGGCCGCGAACCCGGGCTCCGGGAAAGGCAAGCCC